ACTGAACACTAGTCGCTAAAAGGGTTAAGTTCTATGGTTGTTTTATGATTGAAAATAAATATATGTTTTTATATCCAGTTGTATGTTACAGCAGTGGTCATGCATGCCCGAAGCGTGCCATTGTACGAAAACAATTACGCAGGAATGTTACAAGATGTCACTCAATATATTGCACGTAATCTCTGAGAATTATTCGTTTTTGATACACAAAATGTATAAGCGCATATCCCATGCATACAAACATATAGTTGATGCTCAATAGTTATGAATTGATTTGTGAAGTTACGTAAATTGTAACCTTATGTAAAGTGTGAGGGGAGGGGTCACTATGCGGTTGAAGTCTGTGAAAAACAACCAGGGAGTGCCTGCCTTTAGGCAATACTACGAAAGTGCCAACGTCCACTAGTTTAACTTGTTAGTCAACTTTGTGTTTTGCAAAGGCCCTGTCACACATAGGGCCTCACGAACACTGCCCCACCCCCAAACATGGTTGGGAGTCGGTCGGGAGCACGGGTTGGCTGGTGTTCTGTGAGGTCGGCTACTGTTCGGTTGTGCCAGCCGAATGTTTCAAAACGTTTAAAATATTCAAGCTTTATCAAAGGAAACTACTTTTAATGGATATATTTTGGTGTAACCAGTGATAGTCAGAATCGGCCAAAAATGTAAAAATTTTAACGTTACATTTTGCACATATACCGAGGCAAGTTTAATGGCTATATTCTTGCATGGTGTAACCAGCAATAGTTCGAAACGGCCAAAAATGTATAATTTTAACGTTACATTTTGCACATATACCGAGGCATTCTGGTGTAACCAGCAAAAGTTCTAATCGGCAAAAAAATGTATGATTTTAACGTTACATTTTGAACACATACCGATGCAAGTTTGCCTCACACTTTAGCCATGCAAATTCAGCGGTAGTTCGAATCGGCCAGACACAAAATGTTCAATTTTTAACGTTACAATTTGCACACAAACCGAGTGAAGGTTGCCTTCAGTTATAAGCTGCATCCATGGAATGGATTCATCACACGTATAAGCAATGACACATGAAGGACATGAATTCTAAGAGATTTACCACTTGTGGAGATGTGAGGAAAGTCGTGTAGAGTGCCTTTCCCAAGGGCACGTATCTTGATTTTGTTTAATTAATCAATTATTTCATTGTTTAATTTTGATGTTTAATTCAAATATGTTACCTTTGTTTGGGGTAGGCCCTTTCAAAAACCTAGGTTTCTGGCCTACCCCGCATATTCTTTGATTGTTATTATTTGATTATGTAGTTTTTTATATACGTGCATATAATAAACAAATAATAAACAAATAAACAAAATCGGTGGCATGTCAGAAGTCAAACCCGGGACCTCTTGGTTATGAGTCAAGCACTCTGCCGCTACGCCACACGACCCTATATCGGTTTATCTGTTATGTGAGACAAATGAAAAATACAAATACATGTTTGAACAAAGTTGAACGTTTTACTATGATTACTACCAACACAGATGAACTTTCATGACAAATACATGTCTATAGATCAAAAAGCGGTGCACTGCTGGAAACGGTGGTATCTCCAATGTTTGTTACTAAAGATGATTGCCTTCTGCAATATTTAAGGCGCTCTGCTGCGAAGCCGGCAGCGCATTTTCCTTTGAGGTGTGCCCGGTACGTATCCACCAGTCCTGGTGCCTCACACGTGGTGAAATTAACCTCCACTAAACTGAAGAGATACCACAAGTCTCGTTCACTTAAGGCCAGCCTGTCACACATTCAGAACCTTCGACTGGGAACCCAGAGGTCCCGGGTTCGAGTCCTGACATGCCACCGATCTTGTGCCCCTTGAAAAAAAAAAGGCACTTTACACGACTTTCCTCACTTCGCTCTGGTGAAAATGAGTATTGTCCTGTCCTGTATTTGTACTCTGTGTTGGCGACGGTATAAAATAAGTTGATATAACTTGAGTGTGCCGTCACCATGTCTAGTCATGAAATGTTGGAATAAAAAACTGAGGTTGGCTAAAGTTCGGAAGCAGTCTGACTAAATTCAGGCTATGCCTATCTTTCTATACGAATCAAATCGAGTTTGAGTTAAATTTGAGTCAAGTTTAACTGCCAGGCACGCCTCGACCTACTTCCGAACAAAATCGCCAAGATGGACCGTCATGATCATATATTTCATCTAAATCATAAGATTCTGTTCATATTATTTTATTCTACGAAAGGAAATGCATCTTGGTTGAAGATTAATATGTAAGAAATCCATCCATATGATTGCAAAAGGAAACGTTTACATACGAGCTAAACAAGCTCTAGTTCTAATTGTACAACAATGGTGTGAAGTGTTATATATATGCTGCCGCAAGATGACGCTTTTGTCACTACATTTGGTGTCAACTCTTTGTGCAGACTACTTTAGTTGACAACACTGGTAATTTATAGCTTTCTAGCTGTATGTGGTCGTGGTGTAAAAACTAGTTCTATCCCGCTTGTTTGTTTTTCGCAGCTGCGAAAGAAAAAAAAAACAGGGAAGACAATAGAACAAAGCAACCATAAGATTAAGCAATAAAGTGTCGAGTTATCAATTTGAAAACGTATGGAACGTCGTAACAGGTTTCATAGGAGTCATATCTGAGCGATATTTTAAATCAAATGAAAACTAGAAAGTTAACATTTGCAAAGCAAATGCGTAATGTTTACCTTCGCATATGGACTGCTTTGTTAATTCTTACTCAAATACATTCACATATATGCTGTATAAATCCCTCCTACTATGAAATTGCAACATTATGTAGCCTAGAAGCTAGGCCAGCTAACGGACATTCATAACTAACTCACTTTACAAACATTATATAGTTTTATCCCTTAATCATAATAATTCATATGTGGCAGTTATATCAGTGCTGTACTGACATAGTATTCTTAATATCATACCCTTCTCCTTTACATCAATGTTGCATATTTAATTATTCATCTATGGTATCATACAAACGATCATAAAGAAATGCGTGTCATTCCGTGACCCATCGCTAGGGGGTGAAATTACAATGACACGGGCGATATTGTCGGTAATATTACGGTGGCTCATTTATTTTTGTATAAAAGAAAATTCTCTTCACAGTCAATGGACTGATAACAGAAAAGAACGATAAATTTTGGACAAAATGCGCAAAAACTTTGACCAGGAACTGCATTGAAAATATATGTGCCTGTTTAAGTGTTTCTATATTCAATTTATGAATGCTGATTCTTAACTGCGCCGTCACTTTATGAATTTCATGTTATTCATATCATAAAGGTATATTTCTTGTCCATATTGATGTGTGCTGAATCAGTGCGTGCACCACCGATAGGACGAATATTAGTGATAAGTTTATTGCCCAAAGGCTATTATTAAATTGCAAATAGCAAAGATAAAAGAACATTGAAACAGGGTACAAAATAACTTCAAAGTCTATATGATACCAAGAGGTAATTGTCTAAAACTATAGCTATGTATAGAACTATGTCTGAAGGGTTTGACTTCTTTTTATGTAAACCATGGAAGACATCTGTATCTGTATAGCCGCCTTTGGCGTAACACACCAGCTTCGCAGGCACGTGGCGCGGCGGCAGCTGGCTACATTACACCGATCGACCTGTTACACCTAACCCTTAAAAATCTAACTCTAGACATTGTGTAAAGCTATCTAATGACAATGCCCCGACTGTACTCAGTGACAGCGAGTTCCACTCTGCGATAGTCCTAGAAAAGAATGAATTCTTGAACACCTCAATCCTTGGTTGATAACTCTGGTACTTGAAGGCATGGCTATTTCTTGTTCTCTTCTGGGCTGGTATTAGGTACTTAGTAGTTGGGACGTCCACCAGTTTATTAGTTCATTTTGTACATCATGTATAGTCTGGACATTTTTAATCTGTCTTCCAGTGACACCCACTGTAGGTTTCTTTTCGTATAGACGTAATATTGAGTGCGCCACTTCGCCCACTAAAACGCAGGAAGAGCTTCCTACGTCCGCGCACTAATTGTATCTCGATGGTATGGTCCAAATATTTAGGTCGGGTTATGTCGGGACAAGGGCGGGAGCGGGAAAAATGAGGACGGGGGTATATACAGGACACAGGACACATCTTTGGACGTGCCGCTATTGTTAGACGCTCGGGGGTATATTTACCTATTTGTGGGGCCAAGGTTCGGGGGTTGTTGTTATTGATCAACAGAAAAGATTAGAATAGAAAACCCCACTAAGAAAAAACGTAGTAAATAAACAATCTTTTTTTTTTAAAGTAACGTATACTCGAAGAGCAGGGACGGATTCTTAAGAAAAGGCGATTCGCAGCCAGCGCTACGCCCCCCCCCCTCCTAAAGCCTCTCAGGTCAATGCCTTCGCAAGGTCCATGAATGTAGGTCATCCCGTCTTAACGATAAGCGCATTCAAACTGCGCTGAGATCATACATCGCACGTTTATGTTATATAATCTTGAGTTATTGTATGAATTATGAATATCATCACGTTGTGGCGCCGTAAATAATCATAGGGAGGTTCCGAGAAAGCTATTTTTATTATTAATAAACGATCGGTGTGACTAGTTCACCCTTCTTGTACTCCAGGAAAACTGTTAAATATTAGTTTTATACCTTTTCTTGCCGTAGTACTTTAGTACTTTGTACTTTTTGCCATACGTATATTGTACCACGTATAATTGTCGTGCAATAAAGTTCTTCATGTATCATGCTGTGTATTGTATGAGTCATATATATGGTACATGTAGCGTATGTTTGAAGGAATGGCGATCCAGTATACAGCCGTAGGCTTAAAATACACACGAGTGGCTCCAAGCTGTGAGTCTTTTTCTACACGTGAGTTCTTTGTGCGCGAGACGGTTCGTAAACCGTGGCCCGGGTATGGGGTTGTTGTGTGACGTCAGGCCCCGGCTGTAGAACGGGGTCTGTGGGCGGGCCTGGCGATCACCGAGTCTCCGCACGCACGACCTGTGCAGCCGCCCTCACCGCGCAGGCGCAAATCCTGGGCGGCCTCACACATGGGACAGCCCGGCCGGTTTGTTTATAACTGCCCCGTGCCCTCATTTCATCACACCGGCTCCCAGACTCCGCGCTGTACGCATCGTGTGGATCTCAAACTCTGCGAGCTAGTATCAGCAAGCGGTGTATGTACGCCTTGTTTGCCGCCTGAGAACCAGAGCACCTGCGTTCCACACCTGTGGTGCTGTCTACCTGTGCAAGAATCTCTCTACCAGTGACGTTTAATTCAACCGATATATCGGTAAGACTGCGTCGCCAGCCCACGGTCACACCGTACCGAGAGTTGTACCCGGCTTTGACCGTCCCACGGGCTGCCTTGGACCGGCACCAGCTACACATCGACCCCGACTCCACGTTTCGACGGCGTGCCAACGTCCCCACATGTGCTGAATCGCTGTCATGGCACCCAGCATAACCTACAGTCGAGAGTGCGCTTACAGGTTCCAGCCTTACCCGACCAGCCCAATGTCTTACTACGAGTGCGACTCAAGTGAGTTCTCTTCAAGTTCCCCCTCCCCCCGTCTTTCTTCCTTACCTTAAGACAGGTTGTAGGATTATAAGATTGGGAGGATTTTTTCTGTCGTGGTTGCATTTTTTATATGCTGCGCGCCAGACTTGGCTTGAATCCCAACATACGACAAGAATGATGCTAGTTTTCAAACTTTACGAAAAAAATTTAGACGTGATTTCAAAAGTTTCTTTGCAGTGTACAGTACATGCTGTTTTGCCGCAGTTGCATTCGTAATTTAATTGTATCCAGTGGTTACAATTTTCAGTCGCAGTGTGTCAAATGGACAACAACAACCTTTCCTTCTTGGAAATATGTTTTTGTTGATTTTCAAGTCACAGCGAAAATGTGTCTTGAACAAACGGTTAGCGTACTATGTAATCACCAGGACAAGTTATATCAATATCCCACACCCCCTTTTAACAGTTTATCTAAGAAGTTGACCGCGAAGAATTCCTTTATATTCCGTAGAAAATGCATAGCATAACGTTGCTTTCAATCCGTATATTCTCAACATAATAATACACCAGCGCATTGGCTGTACAATACTTTTAGATGCTGTAGGAGCAAATTGTGTTGTACATAGTTCAAACTGCATTCCCTAGCTCGCACAAAGGTTTGTTTTTGCTTGTTGCACATTGCCCAACACAAATACTGGGACCTTTTTTATCATTTTTATTTTACGAGGGGGTGTGTAGCCAGAAAAAAAAATGGAGCACGGGCTCCGCAGGCGTTCTTGTCGTTAGCAGATGGTTGTTTGGCTGGGGCGGAACAACCCGCTGAATAGAAGTGTCCCTAGAAACTAGGCGCAGACGTCTGGATAGTTACGGTGGGTGTCGCGACCTGAGCCCGCCTACCTGTGGCGTGTGCATCGCTCCATTTTCCGTATCTCCCAGAGATATCTTTACACTCAGGTTGCTTCGCTGTCTGGCAAATCATTATCGAAGCGGCTCGCTACAAATTAGGTCATCAGTAGTTTGTATCTCAGTGTTTCAGGGAGCGTCTAGCAATGTCGCAAAACGTGTGACGTCCTGAGAAACAATGGCATCGACAAGTAGGGCATAGGGCGCTCGCCTAGACATGAGATTATATATCCCGTAGTGTACTTAGTACTAATGCTAGCGTTTTGTTAATAGAGTAGTATACATGTTGTTTGTGAAGAAAAAAAAAACACGAACAATTCGCTCCCACACAACGCAGGGCTTGGATGGAGATATTCTCTCGGCGGATTTAATGTATACCCGGGCGTTTGTTCACTCGATAACAACAATCCTGTCGTGGTAAATCAGTGACTACCCCCGCTGAACCCATGCCAGGGTTGTACGTACGTAGGCGATATGCAAATACACACACGGTTGGCAGGGTGCCATATATAAGCACCGGGCACACAACTAGAGCTGTATGTTGTTGTACTCTCCAAGCAGAGGTTTGGGTTTTGTCTACGCGTATTTTTTACGCTGGGGTTTCCTTTTTTGAACTGATTTTTTTTACACTAACCCAACGTATCAAAGAATTTCAGTGCAAAAAAGAAACCACGATAAAAAAAGCCTAAAAACACGCCAAAAATAAGCCAAATCCCCGCTAGGAAAGTTTACTAACTAAATTAGAGCTGTTGTTAAACACATACTTCTCTTCCAAGAAGAGGTTTAGGTTACGGATGGTTTTTGACGTGTTTTGAGTCATTTTTTCGGGCTTTCTTCCTTCATTTTTTTGCTGGTGTCTTCTTTGGTGTATTTTTTGTTGCACCTTACGGTATATATTTGCTCATTTTGCAACTGTATTTGTACGATTTACAGTATGGTTGAAAACTTTTTTTTGGAAACGGCCGAAAATTCGTGAGCGCGCGGATGTCATCCATATAATCAAATCAACATGGCCTAATGATAGTTCTTTTCAACTTTGTACGTAGAAAATGCACCACAGAAAGGACGCAGGAAGAAATTACATGATCTCAACAGCAACTTGAACACACTAATTATGGCGTTAGTACGTCAGAAAAATAACTGTAATCATGCAAAACAAAACGGTAAGAAAATGATGACACATTATGGAGTAATGACAAGCTAAAGAACACTCTCAAAACAACCATGGTGCTGATTTGAATGCGTAGAATAATAGATAAGCATGACTTTTGGTAAAACTAAAAATGCACACGTTTAGTCTTCCTCTTACGTATAGATTTTTAAAAACTTTTTAAAAAGTATGCACCTATATGGTCACAGTTTACATTTAAAACAATTCAGAAAGAAAGAAAAAAACAGGGAGAAAAATCATATTTTTTGGGCCTTCCACGATCATTTGTAATAACTAGCAATTGGATCTAAAATATTAATTGAATGACGACCTTTATTGTACATTTCTACAATATACTAGGTTAAGTACAAGCCACAATAGAACATAATGAACAGGTACAGTTACAAAATACAAAAGAAAACTCGATAAAAAATTCAACTTCTCGTTTTTCAGTTAAGAGATAAAAGAACAGTTTTTCGATTGAAGGCTTGTCTAGCTGCATTAGGAATATGAATTGTCACAAAATGGCAATATTTGCTTCCGTTGTTTTCCCTTTTCTTCATTTTTTTTTTTGAATTTGGTTTTCTGTGTTCTTGCCCTGCGTTGACTTTTAACGTGTTAGGCCGGAAACGCGTTCAAGTGTATGAAATAGGGAAATATGTTTCGTACAAACGCATACAATTCATCTCTCTTTGCTATAAAATCTAAATTTTCTCACAAAATGGCAATATTCCGTTTATTTATTTTCTTCTCATTCTTTTTGAATTTGGTTTTCTGTGTTCTTGCCCTGCGTTGACTTTTAACGTGTTAGGCCGGAAATGTGTTGGCGTTATCCCCGGTATTAAAGTGATCCACACCTAAGCACCAGTGAAGTTCACACACGCGACTACAATAATCCTCGGCAAACGTGACCATAGAAATCGCCCTTTGCCTTTTTCTGACGTCCTACGCTTCATGTTTTACTACTCCAAGGCGAAGATATCGTCTAAGATTTCGAACTTAAGTCTCGAAGGAGTCTTGTACCTTCACCACATCCTTGATGCAAGGAAAGGAAGTCTGGTTCTGTTTTGAGTTCGTGTTTTCACGTTTTTTTTAAAGCTGTATATCAGAGATGGTAAATTTGTGTTTGCTACCATCGGATCGGATGTGAGAGCTAGCCGGGACTTTGACACGTCGAGGGGGGCTAAGTTGCCGGCGAAACAGGTGGTTTCAACGGAAGACGATTCTTAAACTTGTAGGCGAGGTGGATTGGCCTTAAACTCGCTGGAAATCTTAGAGATTTAGTCAGTCCTTGGCTTCCTGTGACGTTGGACGTGTGAAGGAGCATTTAAGAAGCGACTGCGAAGCATGGTTAGAGCATTTTTCCGTCTGCTACCTGGCGCCGCTTGGACGGTCGGCGTGTGCGGGGTTCTTTGTGTTCATTAACGGCGTTATACCACAGGTAATGAACTTCGTTTACGGTGTCGAAAATTCCTTCGTGATGAATTGGTACCAGAAATAGACGATAATCTTATTTTTTCCTCAACAACAATGTGCGTAAAACATTTAGCACGTTAAAAAACTGTGGTCAATTTGCTAAAAAAATCTTTTAAACATTTAGCACGTCAAAAAAACTGTGGTCGTTTTTAAAAATCTTTTAGTTTAATGTTATTTTCTCTCAACAACAAAGTGTGTAAAACATTTAGGACGTTAAAAAATCTGTCGTTTTTTAAAAATCTTTTTAATGTTATTTCCCCTCAACAACAATGTGTGTAAAAACATTTAGCACGTTAAAAAAACTGTGGTTTTTAAATCTTTTTAATGTTATTTTCCCTCAACAATGTGTGTAAAGCATTTAGCACGTTAAAAAATGTGGTCGTTTTTTAAAAACCTTTTAAATGTTATTTTCCCTCAACAACAATGTGTGTAAAACGTTTAGCACGTTAAGATAAACTGTGGTCGTTTTTTTTTTAAATATTTTCAATGTTATTTTTCCTCAACAACAATGTGTGTAAAACATTTAGCACGTTAAAAGAACTGTGGTCGTTTTTAAAATCCTTTAAATGTTATTTTCCCTAAACAACAATGTGTGTAAGACATTTAGCACGTTAAAAAACGTCGTTTTTAATCTTTTTAATGTTATTTTCCCTCAACAGTAAGTGTAAATTTAGCACGTTAAAAAAACTGGTCGTTTTGACGATTGATGCAAAGGGAGAGATTTGCTTATGACAGCATTTTTCGTGGCCAATAATAAGCCCACAGCGCAAACCTGGCTTGTATTTTTGCTAACTGGTAGCTTTTGTTGTGTACGCAAGCATTTAGTCCAACCTGTTGTCACCTTGAATTTGACCTAACATTTGTCAGTAGTCGAGACAAAGAGGTTACCGACTGTTATGTTCCAATTCCCAACTGCACATTGCGCATATCCAGATGTTGAGGTTTGAAAACTTTCCTGTATGTATAAAATGGTATATATGAAACCTGATACTTTGCGTCAACAGCCAAAAACGCATTGTTTACTACGACAGTGGTAACTGTTACATGTGCCCTATTCTTTAAGAGTTATGTTCCCATTTCCAATTATATTGCACATTGTGCATATCCAGATGTTGAGGTTTGAAAAAATATCAAAAATAAAATTGTATATATGAAACCTGATATTTTGCGTCAACAGCCAAAAAAAGCGCATTGTTTACTACGACAGTGGTTCGTTGTAACTGTTACATGTGCCCTATTCTTCAAGAGTTATGTTCCAATTTCCAATTGTACATCACGTATACTAGTATCCATATGTTGAGGTTTGAAAAACTATCAAAAATAAAATGGTATATATGAAACCTGATATTTTGCGTCAACAGCCAAAAAAAAGCGCATTGTTTACTACGACAGTAGTTCGTTGTAACTGTTACATATGCCCTATTCTTCCTAAGTCACGTTTGCCTAGACATTTTCTTAAAAGAAACGAATGTGAGGGCACGACCTGGCAACGTGTAGGCGCTCCGTATTGTTTCCACATGATCCAGGAAAGACCTTACATCGGAGTTTAGAAAAGCAGGGCTGCAACGAGGTTCACCATTGGTGTTCGTGTGTACCGCACGTCGCACACGTAAGGATCGACATATTCGGCATTCGATGCTCTTTAGATTACAGCCATCGGGTAAAATGATTTATGGGAAAACGAAACCCAGTAAGACGATGATCTAAGTGACACGGCAATATTTCTTGTTTTCAAAACAGCATCGCCAATATCAAATTAGAGCGAGCGCTGTAGCAGTTGCTGGGAATATTTTTCTACACTACATACCGTGACTGTGGTGTTGTGAACTGGGTACAAAATGTCGTACGGTCTTTTCTTGACTGCGTCTCCATGCAAAGGAATTTTGCTTACCGGTCGTCGCTTTTGAAAGTTTTTTTTCCAAGTGCACGCTCGCTCACAGCTCACGGTTACTTCTTCAAGTGCATGTGGGAATATTGACAAAACCCTTGGTGTGTTATTGCCAGCCTTGTACCAAAACAAGGCAGTCCCCACCGGGCCCTAGCCGGCTGTTGGCCCGGTGCCAAGGGTCTATCCCACCGGCGAGTTAAAATTTATGTACCGATCGGTAGCACAGGGCAGATAGCAACGTGAGTACGAGTTATTGAAAACTGGCATTTCATTTCTACTTAATAGCTTGGATGTGAGACCCTAAGTGCAACGTGCAAGGGTCGCGATGTTAAGAATCTTATACAAGTGCGACTGCGAAGTCTCAACACTCGTAGTTATTTGACCAAGGCTTCATGTTTTGTCTCACAATACTTACAGCAGATTTAATATATATCGGTGACGCCAAGTGCTGCATACATACAGCGGGAGTATATGTTTCTATGGTATGATTGTATGAATCATGATTCTGAAACGTCTGCAATGACACGTATTGTTCAAAGGTTTTTAAGTCCTGTGGCGTCATATGTTTGAAAACACCGTGCTTCCTGTTGACAATCTCTTCTCTCTACATGTACAGCCCTCGTGCTTCGAATCCGTACAACAGGTACTTCTTTCAAGCCCCTTTCACACGTAGTCGAATAGGATAGCTTCCCGAGCACTGCCGAACTGCCCCCGACCATGGTTGGAAGTACGTGTAGGTCGGGAGCAAGTTCGGTTGTGGTTGGCTGGTGTTCGGTGACCTAGGTTGGCTACTGTTCGGCTGCGCCAACCGAATGTTTCAAAATTCTTTTAAACATTCGGTATAGTGGAAATGTTCACTCGACAGAAGGTTGGATCATGGTTGGCAAGTGGTTGGCTGGTGTTCGGGAGTAGGTCGGCTGTGGTCGGGAGTCAAACTTGACTCAAACTTTAACTCAAATTTGATTCAATCCGTATTGAGAGGTACTCCGAACTTCAGCCGACATTAGTTGGTTGGTGGTGGAGGGGAAGGTTCTGAATGTGTGACAGAGGCTTCACCAAGCTTTTATAATGGGTTCCCCTTCTTACTACTAGTACTAGTGGGTAAAATCTTACACTTTGTTCTTGTAGCCTGAACACAGGGCATCACGTAAGTGGAGGTGTTTTTTGTTTGTTTGCTGAGCAAACGCCGGACCGGCCACCTTATCTTACCATCATAAAGTACCGGGCGTTAAACACCGTGCCGCATACGTCATAAGCGAGCAGTGCTTGGTGAAAACAACATGCGCGTACATGTCCGGCCGCAACCCGCGTTATCTAAAAAATTACACGCAGCCCGAAATCCTATCTTTAAGCACACTTAAAGTATGCGTAAAGGCACACATGAGGGAAGGAACGGAACCTTTCTACATGCTTTAGGTGTGCTTTAAGTATGGATTTTTTGCAGTATCAACTCCAATGTTTTTGTCATATTTAGAAGAATGAATCCCCCGTTATCTAAAAAAATACACTGCCCGAAATCCTATCTTTAAGCACACTTAAAGTACATGTATATATGCGGGCTGGATTTTTTGCAGTGTCAACTCCAATGTTTTTGTCATATTTAGGAACAGAACCTTTATGCATGCTTTAGGGTGTGCTTAAAGTATGGATTTTTTGCAGTGTCAACTCCAATGTTTTTGTCATATTTAGGAACAGAATCTTTATACATGCTTTAGGTGTGCTTAAAGTATGGATTTTTTGCAGTGTCAACTCCAATGTTTTTGTCGTATTTAGAAGAATGAAGAGGGTTGTCACCACATTTGTTAAGCAATTTCTTATGATACTTTTAACATCACTAAGTATAAAAATAGAGAATTTTCATATGATGCTTCCTAGATATCTAAACAACTCAAGAGCAACATTTTTACTTTGTTTACAATCGTATACAAGAATAACTTTGTATATAGAAATGACTTAACTACAAAACAGAGAGATGTACTTACATGTACCTCAGTGTGAGTGGATAGCACTTCACACCTGCCCATTGGTGTAAACCATGTGTATAAAGAACTAATTGACTATACGCAACTGCTGTGGTGACATTTGTAGATAAGGTATGGCAACCAACAGTCTCTGTTTAAAGTTCTTTTAAGACAAAATGCAGAAGTGGTAAAGAAAGATGGAAGTGTTCAGAATGGTGTGAGCAATTCTCTTATCTTTCTTTACACTTCCAAGTTTCAAATCAACTCTTAGAGAACATTCTTGGATACACAAGACAGCTGCCATAAAGAAGTATTCAAGGCATCCAATGCAAGTTCAAAGTGGCAAAACTGGAATATTCGGAAAATGGCAATCTGTATGATATTGACATATTCTGTCCCACATATTAGCACATTTGAATAAGTATTTCCATCACTGAAACAAGCCCCAAGATGAGTCCTTTATTTTCTGGGTGGTACCCCAAAATCAGCCCAGGGCCCTTCCAGTAACTATTTTCTGTCACACTGTTCTGCATTTTTGCTCCATAAATGTTGACATACTTTTTGATAGTCTTGTTTCAACTAGTACTGGTATGTAGGTAAGTGTCTAGAATACTAGTATCGACTTTGACAAATCTGGTTTTCAAGCCCTAAAAACTGCATCGGGCTCCTTTAAGTCTTTCGAGGATGTTTTGTTCGACTAATTTTGCATTTTGCCTCCCAAGTTGTCCATGTATCATCATTTAACTTAGTACCCAACGGTCCAATTTGTGCAAGATCACTACAAAACCCCCACAAATCATGCAAAACATACCCAAACTCAAACTAATCCTAGATATATCTTTCAATTGCATTGTCGCACTTTTTTCGCACTTGATAGTACATACACACAAATCAAATGAGAAGTTGTTTATAATTATGTTCATAAATAAGTGTGATATATATGACAGAGATATAATCAATGGTAATAAAATACCTCACGGATCTGTGAGAGTATTAAACAACATTCCCACAATAGTTTTTAGACTGGTATGCTATCCATATGACTTATTCTGAGGACAGAATATTTACGAAGCACTCAAGGAGGTAAAAAATACAGGTAAACCTGTCCAAGAAGACAGGTGGTCTCTATGGGAAAAATCATTTAAGTGGTCATATTGGCCAGGTGATCCTAATGTGGTCACTTCACCTGCGCCATTCCATGTACACAATGCATTTGTATATTTGTGCTTAATTTACTGTTACCACCTTTTAAGTGTAAGAAATTATGCCAATGGTTTCTGACCAGTTTTCAGTGTGATCTATACTTCCTAAATTTTGAGTGCTGGAAGTAAAATTTGTCTGATGTAGGTAATTTTCAGTAGCCTCTCGCGAATTAGATCTTCTATCTTCTCTGGTATACTGTCCCTTTATTTCGGCCAATTTCTACTATTTCCAGCGATCCGCGGTGCCTGGTAGAGGCTAAATATTCAGTATTACCTGCACCTTTGCAGGTATGCAGAAAAAAGGTATTTCAAGCCCAGGTTTGAAATGTCAACGTTTTCTTGACATGATATGATAATTGTGATGCCGCCTTCTGTTTACGCAGGTGTGAAGATGATGTCAGACTATCAGTTTGAAGAGGAAGCGAAGGACCTGGAAGAGGCGTGTCCCGTGTGCGGGGACAAGGTGTCGGGTTACCACTACGGGCTCCTGACCTGCGAGAGCTGCAAGGGATTCTTCAAGCGCACGGTCCAGAACAACAAGCAGTACACCTGCATCGAGAACCAGAACTGTGTCATCGACAAGACACAGAGGAAACGCTGCCCCTACTGCCGCTTCCAGAAGTGTCTGCAAGTCGGCATGAAACTGGAAGGTAAATAATATTATCTATTGTGGGGTCGTATAGCGTAGCGGCAGCGTGCTCAACTAGGAACCAAGAGGTCCCGGGTTCGAGTCCTGACATGCCACCGATCTTGTGCCATTGGGAAAGGCACTTTACATGACTTTCCTCACTTAACTCTGGTGAAAAAGAGTACTGTCTTGTCCTGTATTCATCCTCTGCGTTGATATAACTTAATTGTGCTATCACCATGTCTAGTCATGAAAGGTTAGAATAAAAAAAAGCGGCTGGGTAGCCCATTCAGCTTGTAGTATCTGCTTTCCCATTTTTTTATTTTTTATTCCGAAACATGTAATCTGAAGACGTGGTGACGACACACTCAAGTTTTTTCAACTTATATTAATGCCGACACCAACACTGCTTTCCCATTGGGCCCAGCATACATGTACAAGATGTGAGATTTTGACAATTTAGTTTGGTATGTTGTCTTCTAGCATGTGTGAGATGATGCAGATCTTTTACACCAAGCATTTTTTATAGGTCATTCAGCAAGAGGACTAGATGCAAACTGGGAGAAAAACTTTTATCAGAGATTTAAGTCACTCCCTTAAAACTATGTGTACAGTAGAAAGGTACAGATACCAATTAACATACCCCCCCCAAACTGCGTTTTTACACTGATTTTCCAGTTCAACCTTTAGTCTGAGGACCAACTCATCAAATTAGTTTGGCCTTGTTTTAGCTACTACCTAGTAACTTATCTGTAAACATTTGAGTCTTCCTGAAATGTCTGCCCAGTAAGTGGAAACATATCAGATCAAGTGCCGCTGTCCAAATGCATCACATGTCAGAGTCGTGTTGTTACAACGAGGCACGAAGTATGAAAATGACAGGAGTACATGTACTGAACTCTAGCCTACAGATAAGAGTTCATGTGCCCAGTATATCTGAGTAGCTCTTCTCGAGTGATTCGTTCTGGAAAGACGTTTCATACCCCTTCTAGCCCGATATGCCCTGTCTTTTTGAAACATTCATAGTGACACACTGATCATCTTACGAGAGAAACTCCTGGTAGCCTGGTAAAAACCGGTATCCATCACTGACACTCCTGTCTTTTTGTAGTAGTAACATGGCTTTCATCTGTCGTGGTAATGTTAGATTGCTCTGACTTGATGTTACGGGTGTATAACTACATCAGGCGTGCTTGGCACGGTAGACTTAAATACAGCTGACGTGCATACAAAGTCTATTATGGATCCTCGTGTCCAGTTTTAATGGCTGGCGCCGTGTTTTCTGTACCCGTTTGCATCTGGCATTTCACAATCAACCGAACTAAAGAAAATCAATCCAGCTATTAGGGCTTTCGTTCTAAAGGCTGTGAATACCTTGAATGTCAAAACCCCTGCGGCAGTTGCTACTGCTTTCAGATAATTCAATATTTCAATAACATATGACTCATAACCCTGTCAAGTCAAAGAAATATTATTCTTGTTATAACGTCAATGCTTTCCATAAACACCGTGAAACACAAAACTTCATGTATTGACCACTATGACAATGTAGCTATTTTTTAAGACAAGCACTTGTAGAATGGTTTATTATGACATCAACTATATCAGTTGCAGCCCAAAGGCTGGTTTGATGAAACAATATTACAGAAATTGCCTGCCAGCATTATTCTAAAATCACCTAAAATCAAGAGCAAATATATTAGGACCAGCAAAGTAATTCATATACGTACAACAAACTGTTATAAACTTTGTTACCAGTAACCACTACTGACAGCATAGCACAATGGATGCTGTTCTGGCACACGTTGTTCTGGCACACGCAGGACCAAGAATAATGATGATGATACCTATTTGATGATCCCAGCTGTTTCCAGTTGAAGTTTTCTGGCACAAACAGAGGTCCTGGCAGCGCTGAGGGGCTCACTGTTCAAAATCCCTTTACTGTTGTCAGTCACAATTGATATCAGTATGAGCTGGTACTTTGTACCTCCCAGCTGTTGTAAGGACCTGGACGCGTGCCAACCCGGGATCTGTTTTGGAACATGCTAGGAGGGCAAGTTCAAATGCGAGGAGATTGATCTTTAGTGCCCAAGTATCCCTTGTAAGCATTGATCAAACAGTGTGAAGGTCATAACTGTTCAATGATCCCTGATATACTTCGTTTATTTATTGTGTATGAGTTAATTTATTTTCCCGTGATCCCACCCCTCACTCATTACTGGACCTCTGGGAAGAGCGGCATGTACAAGGCCGACAGGGCCATCCAGTTTAAATAAAGGTGAATGAATGAATGAATGAATGAATATACCTGCTACAGTGCTGGTTGGATGCAGGCAATACATTTGAATCTGTACCTCTACATAAGGACCACCTGGTAGCATATTGACAGAATGTACTGCGCCTGCATAAAAACATGTAATGTACAAAATGTATAGTGCATAGGACTTTGACAGAACACCTCGTTTAAGGTTGTACTAACGTACATATATTTAGATTTTGTAAGGATGACATCCTGTCTATAGTATGTAAATGTTGTGTTGGATATCGTCTGCTACAGGCAAAATTCTGATGCAATGTTGACCAAACAACAAACGAAAATCGTGAAAAATCTGGGTTTTGCGCTGGCTCAGTAATTCTTCCAATGTGGTCTACCTGGCCATTGTGGCCACTTATAAGATTATTTTTATATTGACCCGACTATTAAAGGATACTCGATGATGGCTGCCTTTCTACAGTGGTCTTCAAAGACAGGTTTGAATGTACTTCGAATAGATTTGCTGTGAATTTGATGAACACATATCAATCCTGTTTCCCCCCACCCCCATACATGCACGTCTAAACCAGAAATGGGTGCGCTTGGAAGTAAAAATTGATTGACACAATACCTGTTTCCTTGCACACCCATGTATTTGATTCCAAAGAGGTTGGGAATATTTCCAAACAATTTGATTGACACGTCAATCTTTTTTCCCTCCCCCCAGCTGTGCGCACAGACAGGATGCGTGGAGGCAGGAACAAGTTCGGCCCCATGTACAAACGCGACCGTGCCATCAAGCAGCAGAGAAAAGCCATGATGGCTCGCACAAAGTCCGAGGCCACCCTGTACCAGCCCATGCCCAACTGCCAGTACCAGACCAACGTCAACTCCGCCGTGCAAAACATCCACGCCGCGGCCAAGGGCATCCCCATGTCACCCATGTCGACGCTGTCGCCTTCGTCCCAGCCCAGCACCGTGTCCAGCAGCTACCCTCCCATCATCCCCCCAGTTACTGCTACGAACTTTTACAGCTCCCCGATCACGTCTACCATGGAGAGGCTGCCCATGAACTTCCACCCAGGGAGCTCGTACATCAACCACGGGATGAAGCCGCACGCGTCGTACCCGCAAAACTTCGCCATGAAGCCGGAGAAGGACGTCTTCAACGACCAGCCCTCCTCCTGCCAACAGGAAAGCGCTACCTCAGTCAGATCGTCACCTCCCACCACCCCGCCCAACAACCACCTCCACAGCCAGACGGACAAAGAACTCAGGCTGTCCCCCGACCGCATGTCGGCGGCTCCGGCCGGTAACGAGCGGCCCAGAACTGTTCCCAAGCTCATGCAGGAGCTGCTGCAGTGCGAGCCCGACCAGAAGGTCCTGAGGCAGAAGCTGCTGGAGACGGTGGAGGACCAGATGAGGCAAGGCGAGGAGCCCAACAGTTTTGTCATGCTGTGCAAGCTAGCCGACCGAAGCCTGGTCTCCACTGTGGAGTGGGCCAAGAACAATGCCATGTTCAGCCAACTGGAGGTGGGTAATGCTAAACACTACCGTAACTACCGTAATTGTATTGTATAGAACTTCAGGTAGTACAATTCAAATGGGCAATGTAAAATCATTGAGATGTATTATGATAACCTGTCAGGTGTCCAGTATGGACAGACCCATGTTTGTCTACAAATGCAGATTATCTAAAATACACTTCTAATCTTAAGTAACAGGGTGTGAAATATGCACCTTTTAAGAAAAAAATTTGCAGAAAAAATTTTAGACTTGCAAGCTGCAAGCTAGTGTTATGAGTCACTCATTGCAGAAAACATAAGCACTTGAGCCATACAAGTTTCAACTGAATTTTCTCCTCCAATTTATAGAACAGAAGAACTGATAGATTTGTTTTTGTTTGTCCCCACCTCAGGTTGAAGACCAGATGGCTCTACTACAGAACTGCTGGAGCGAGCTGCTAGTTCTTGAGCATCTCTACCGGCGAGCAGTCAGCGGGAAGGATTGTCTGATGACGTCCCAGGGACAGGAGATCAACATGTCACTCATCCCGTCCCTCGGGTTCGGGCCCATGGACTGCACCGCCGAGGTGGCGGCCAAGCTGCGAGAAGCCAAGGTCGACTACCTGGAGTACATGTGCCTCAAGTTCCTCATCCTCTTCAACACTGGTGAGAGACCTTGTTTTTAACCTTTTATCTCAACCAAGAATTGAGGTATTCAAAAACTCGTATTTCCCCAGAACTGTCGTAGACTGGAACTCGTTGCCACCAAGCACAGTTGGGGCATTATCACTAGAAAGCTTTAAACAACTCCTGCAATTAAATGTGCAAAGATTGAGTGTAAGAAGTCGTTCAGTGTGATATAGCTAGCTGCTGCAGCGCAGCGTGCCTGCGAAGCTGGTGTGTTTCGCCAAAGGGCGGTTATGCCAGCTATACTGCTACAGAACCTTTGGCATCCTAAGGTAGCCATTTGGCACCAAATTTGTATTGGTTACGCCTTTAACATGTATGGGGTTCAGTAGCTGGTAAAGGGTTAAACATGTGAACATTGTGAAGCTTACATGTATATTCACATACATGTACATGTCTCCTATGTTGTGTGTTGAAGACAAGCTAAATACTGGCAAAATAACTTTTTGATCCAAGTCAAATCTCCCAAATGTTTTTAACGCTTCAATTATGACAAGACATTGACAGGTACTTGACTGTGCTTAACTTTCTATTGTATATGTACAGCCTTCTTAGCTTTTTAAAATGATCCAGTATCATCTGACCAATATAGATATCACAAGTTAAATGTGAAAAAAGTGCATATCCGTCAATAGTCAATATCACCAAAATACAGGGCTCACGAGTGTGTAAAGTCTGCGTCAACACTGCAAACGTGTGTGGGAACAGTATCAGGTAACGTTTGTAAACCAATCATCCGAAAGCAGCTCTCGAGCTTTATTTGTCCTGGGGATGCCGTAATCCTTCTTAGAATCGGTAACCGTGCCTGTTCTGAGAAACGCTACACTCATTTGGCGACTGTGCATCAGAATTTTATGGTTTGAAAAACTGGTAAAAACAGGTTGTTTACCATTTATATAGTGTTTATGCTATAAGATACGATCTGAAATGATGTTAAATATAGCAACGCGGAACTCCTAGTTGCGGGACTGTCCTGAAAACAAGCTTCTCGCTTTATGTGTGCTAATTGTCTAACGTTTTCCAACTGAACTGTCATCAACCTACAGTAACCTTTCCTAAGGGCCATTAACTCTGAAGAACGTCATCAGAAGATTTTGCCGTATCATCAAATTGCTCGAACGCAAAGCCATATCCATAGAAACAAGTCTACAAGAATGGCATTTATGGACCTAACATTCTAGAAAAGCAAAGAAAATTGATGCCTTGTGCAGTGGCAGGAGGTTTTTACGTCAATCTTGATTTTCCAAATTGTGCACATTTCTGTAAGGTCATTGGCCTGTCTCTCTCACTCTGCGGCAGTATGATTGAATGACTGAGTGACTCATGCCCATTGGTCTCCACTCATGGGGAACGCAGATTGCTTTTTCTATTGAAAAGATGTTTGCGTACACGTATGCACGTAGGTAGCAGCGTAGGGCAATGTCCTCAAATCACCTCTGCAACTTCCTGCAGACAAGTATTGTGTTTTTGAAAACAAAAACACCCAGCTGTAAATGAAAATCAATTATTTTTCCAAGTACATGTATTTTGAGGTTGCAGCTATTAAAAAAAACAAATTGTGAATCAACTTTTTGCTTAATTGCAGTTAGTGTAGCTTAGTACTGTAGACTACATGTATGCAAGTAGGAGAAGATATTAGAATCTAATGCAGAAAATCATGGCCAAGCTTCTAGACAAACATGTACAGGTTAAGCGATTGATGTTGCCTTTTGACATTAAGATTGTTTGTGTACAGGTAGGTTAGCAATGAAGGGCAAAGTCCTTAAATCACCCCAGGCGACTTCCGGTGAACAAGTATAGTGGAAAGGGATAGAAAAAAAAACACCCAGTAACAAAAATTTTACCTGTTTTCCCCAGTATTTTAAAGTTAGAGATGTAAAAATCAATTGTGAAAAACCAAATTGGTATGTCCTAATAGTATTGCAGTCTACGTGAAATCATAAAATGCATGAAATCACTACTAAAAGTTCTAAATATGTTTAGGGTCTAAGGGCTAAACAGGTAGTGGCATTGGCACTACGCCAGAGAAGGCTTACGTTTCCTTTCAATGATATTGATCTATTAGCTCTAACTGCCCGAACAATCGGCCATTGCAACCGAGGAATGTTCTCTTGGCCTGTGACGTCAGGGCGGTGTTGAAAAAGAGGGTTGTTATGTGTGACGATGTTAGTGCCGGTTCAAGGGGCAGGTTTCTGTCATGTCACACTGGTATTTGGAGGTCAATGTCCCCTAAAGTATGCCAACACTCTGAGGCAGCTATGTTTCCAGAACAAGCCTGTTAAATCCAGTTCCTAATCCGTTAATAGGTTGTAAGCCAAATTTTGCCACTTTGCTCAATGTGATGGATTGATACAAAAGGCTTGTAATTTCATAATTGATATCACTGTGGAGTATTTTATATAAAAATGACAAGAATGTTAACCCATTTCAACATACACACATGTATGTTTACTGTATGCTACATGTACACATGTATGTGCAAACTTAAGCCATTAAGCAATCTGACAGTTGACTTATTCTACCCTGGGTTTTGTACATGTAGAATGTATATGAAGACCCAACATTGTGTCTTGTACTACATGTACACGTATATGAAGTCAAGACAAACCTGGACCCTTCCCTGTGTTTTGTATGAAGACCACACATTGTGTCTAGTACATGATTGTACAAATGTACAAATGTACAGACTTACCTGGACCCTACCCTGTGTTTTGTACATGTGAATAAACTCCCTACAGTACATTGTGTGTTGTAAGTGTATGAAGACTAACCTGGACCCTACCCTGTGTTTTGTACATGTGAATAAACTCCCTACAGTACATTGTGTGTTGTAAGTGTATGAAGACTAACCTGGACCCTACCCTGTGTTTTGTACATGTGAATAAACTCCCTACAGTACATTGTGTGTTGTAAGTGTATGAAGACTAACCTGGACCTTACCCTGTGTTTTGCAGATGTGAAGGGGCTGGTGAACCGCTCCATGCTGGAGAAGTTCCAGGAGCAGATCAACGTGGCCCTGCTGGACTACACCCTCTGCAACTACCCCGAGCAGAACGACCGCTTCGGACAGCTCCTCCTGCGCCTGCCCGAGATCCGCCTCATCGCCGTGCAGGCCGAGGAGCTCATGTACCTCAAGCACCTCAACGGGATCCTGCCGTCCGCCACCCTGCTCATGGAGATGCTGCACGCCAAGCGGCAGTGATCTAACCACGGAGAAGGAAAGAGAGAGATAAGGGGACGTTCAAGACAATATCGGACTGCACAATCTTGCAACAACACTCTTCTCCGGCAGAAGTGCTTGAGAGACACAGACGAAAATTGGCTGGACATTCGGGCGCCCGTTCAGGGGTGACGTCTCATGTAGCGAACACGATTTCTGGGCATGCTTATACAGTGAAAGGACTGGAAAGCCACGGTTCTGTGATTGACTTGACAGCTCAGATGCACAAACTCTCAGCAGGGCAGTATTTTACACTGTTTTACCTACATGTAGTCAATCAGGGCGCATACAATAACAGTCAACATCTGCCTGTATGAACATTACGAGTTGTTTTGTGTTGGTTAATTTTGCAACTGTCCTGATCGAACAGATTCAATGGACCTATACCATTATTACGTCACAGTTTGTTTACCGCAATGAATGCCGGTCAATCGACGTTTATATTGTACAGAGGTGCGTAGCGCGGTGCGTGTTTGTGTAGCTTTAGCCTAATATAAGGCTTTTAATACAGTACTAATTTCGTCTAATGTCACAACTAAATCACCCATGCGGCATGTAATGCTGTGTCAACACAACTAGACGCAGCAAAAATCAGACATACCTTACTTTGAAAACTTTGAAATGATCTTTATTCTTTAACTGACCGTTCTATAATGTTCTTTAGAACAGGTAAACAAACTGTGACGTAATAATGGTATAGGTCCATTCCACATACATTGTGAAATGCATCACCAGACATACCAAAAACATTATGTCAAAGGCAAGAATGGGTATCAGCTGTTACGATGTTCAGATATTGAAGCTTTTTAATGAGCTTTGAGTCTCTTCAATATTTTCATTGCACTCATAAATAATAATGCAACTGAACGATTGTATTCTGATTGTCTTCATTAGCAGTAATAAGATGTTATAATTAGTGTTATTTTTCTGAACGTTAGAAATGGTCAGCATGCCAGTAGTCAATGAATGCTGGTTCCAAATAAACTGGGTATGCCAACATCAGGGTACACTTAGAATTTGTACATACAATAGCCACACCCTTGTGACATATGTTAAGCATACAGAGATACATGACATTGTACACTATCAAGTCAGTATTCACAGTTTGTATTTGAGCAATCCGTCTGATGGACAGGGTTCCCAATTCAGGGTTGTTGTAAAGAAGAAAACATTCTCGCTCACTCATACACACGCATGCTTCCAACCAAGTTTCATGGTATCAGTATACAACATACAGCAGCACAATGTTAAATGGCAATGTTAAAATGATTATGTGAATGATTACGTCAGTTTAAGTATTTTACAGCTGCGAAAAAAGCAGTCTATAAGATTTTACTGTGGTGTGCATTATATAATAAAAGGAACAGGGTTGTGTTGTTAAAAAGACTGACCAATTTTAGAAATTGCTCAGTGGAATTGTATGGATCGACAACATGATCTATTCAGGATGTAATATAATATATATAAATATATACATGTAGTGGACTTAAGCACTTACAGAAGTACCATATTTTCATGATGATGACAGCTCGCACACCCAATGTCCAGTACAATCTTCACCTCTTGCCACAAGTGACCTTAAAAATTGTTAGTCCAACATCAATTCAAGCCAGTCTACATGTGAGTAATGCTTCATCTGAAAAAAAGTAATTGAAATCTATTATTATAGTGTTTTTGGACCAAAAAGAGTTGTTCTGTACTTAGACATAATTGTTCTTTTTTTTTTGGATTTATTGCAAAGGTGAATTTTGATTAAGCTATATGACCAATGTTTTGCTTAGGTATTAGTAATTATGACATTGATGGGTGGTGTGGTTTGTGTTTGCTTTTAAATTGTACATTTGGAGTCATTTGCTGCAACTCTTGATGTTTTCCTCAACAAATTTTTACTACAACGGAACAAAAAGACACTTGAATGTGAACCGTAAATGTCGAAATAAACAAGATGTTCTAATACGGAAAGTAAAAGAAATATAGAAATTTGATCACGAGAAGATACGATCAGGATTTGCAGTCAATGTCGGGTGAAGAAGGTAAAAATAACTGTGAAAAAAACAAAAAATAAAAATATCCAGTAACAAAACACATTCATATAATGCCTAAGTATCATGATTACATGTTGAATGCTAAAAGTGGTCTGGAACTGATTCTGTTTTAGTACTGCTTGCAAAGCAACTGAATGACACGAGTGATTGCTTAAAAAGTAATTGATGATGCAATATTGGCATAGGCTAAAACCACAGAAAAGGCTTCGACTCTATAGCGAATCAGTGTCAGAAAAACTCTGTCTGTGACACAGGAATGGAAAATTTAACTCAGTCCGTTCATCCTTGTTCCGTAGCACGTATTTCTATTATTCAAGACAACTTTTACATACCATAGTGTACATATATACATACTATATATACTGTATGAAGTCAAAATTACGTGCAATGTAAAAAAAAAGATTTAAAGGTTGATGATTTTAAGTGGTGGATGCATCTTTTGGTCCAGTGGGTAAGACAGTTTTCACTAGGGTAGGACGAAGAAAGTTTTACTTGTAAATTTTTTGTCTTTGAGAAGGGTATAAGTTGTGGGTTGAGTGTATACAAGCCTTTAAGAATGGAGCCCTTCTGAGGCTTAAACCTGTACTCGAGTCTTTATAGTGCTTTTATAATCATGCAAATCACCATTGGAAGATAATAAATTGATGTATACTTACTTACTTTGTGTGTGTCTTGAATTCTCTTCATCTCTTGTGAGTCTTGACTTCTCTTGATCTATCCTACAATGAATGAATGAATGAATGAATGCATTTTTATTTACATATTTACCATATGGGCTTATAAGACACCAAAACATAAACATGAACATAAACATAGGTACCAAAATCATAAAAACATAAATCCAAGTCCGAATCAAAAGGTTAGACTGGAAACATCAAATGAAATGTTAACACAACTACAAGACCTTTTTAAAGCATAATAGACATTCTTACATGTATATTAAAGTAGGCAATTAAAATAGATAAGAGAATGCCTTGTTCATACCTTTATCACCAACTCAATGGGTAGTCCAAAAGAGGCATTAAAACTTCCTTCCCACACATAGATCGGTGCCCATCTTTGTTTCTGTAGCCCTTGGGCTGCACAGTTGTGCAATAACTACAGCAGGGGGCTAGTTCCCATATACATACTCTTTTCCAAATGCTGGGTGCTACATGTAAGTAGAGAAATCAGTATGTACCATTTTTAAAGTCTTTGGTATGACTTTTCCAGGGATTGAACTCATGACCTATCGAATGCAAGGCGAACACCCTACCTACACTTGGCCATTGCACCAGCATAAAAGAGGCATGCTAGGCATAAAACTTAGGGCCACCTTTCCACTACAAAAATGTAGATGACAATCGCTGAGCAACCAAAATTTGGATTTGTGTGATCTTTGATTTCATAATTGGAATACATTGTATGATGCAAGATGTAAAAATATGATCCAAGACACAACAAAACATATTCTTAATCTATGAAATCTGTAGAGCGATCTGTCAAATCTTTGGTCGCCTGGTTCTACATCACGTTAAGGGAACACCAGTTTAATTTGTTTCTCCGTTTTTTTCAGAAAAAATATGAAGTGACAGGGCGAAATAAAATTAAAAAAAATAGAAACAGGCCAAGGCACCCCATGATAGCCGGAAATGTTATGATATGAGCCATGAAGTCAACATACCAGGCTGGTTTATAATTAAAACAATAGATTTTGAACTTTTGATGAAAAAGTTCAAAATTTGCATTGTTGAATTGTTACATTGAAGAAAACTTTTTAACAACTTGGAAGAAAAGGACTTTCTTTAATCATTGGGGCCAAAATGGGTTCATTGGGCATTTTGGATTTGATCCAGGACCTAAAAATTTTTTTTTTTTTTTGCAAATCGGAAAAAGATGGACAGGCAAATTCGAGAAACAACAAAATGAAATTGGTGTGGCCTAACGGAACTGAAGCTGGGTGCCCATTTTCACCGGTGTACAGAAAGTGCGAAATGGAACGAAATGGACGAAATGGAACGAAATGGAATGAACTGAAACAAAATGGAACGAAATGTGTATGAAGGAAAGCCGTTAAGCCGTTCGTACGTTGGAACGGCGACGTCAGTGTCCACTCGACGTCCAAACACATTTCGTTCCATTTCGCACTTTCTGGGGGCGTTCCAACGCACAAACGGCTTAACGGCTTTCCTTCATACAGATTCTGTTCCATTTCGTTCCATTTCGTTCCATTTCATTCCATTTCGCACTTTCTGGGGTCCCCACTTTCACCCCAGTCAAGTGAGGATTTATCATGTACTGTAGTACATTGACACTGGGGTCTGCTGAGGTTACGAACGCAACACCTGACACCATGTTACCCCATGTTCAGGGTCTCCAGACTTGAATTTCATTTTGAATGATATGAAATTAAGATCATGCTCTACACATGTTGTACGTGACTGACAATGAAGTTTGACAAATACAAGGCCAATCAATATTGGTTCTCAGATTTGCCCGCCTCATTTTTATGATTTTGAATCAACTCCAAAATGCTCATAGTTTGGCCCCAACAATTGAAGAAAGTCCTTGTCTTTCTAGTGGTTCCATCTATCAATGCAGTGGTTTGATTAAAAGGTCAAAATTTGTTGTTTGAATCATAAAGCAGCCAGAGGTATGTTAACTTCATCATAGGATGCCTAGGACTGCCTTTTCGCCCTGTTGCTTCATATTTGTTCTGAAAAAATCTGAGAACAAATTAAATTCATTTGGTATATCCTAATGTCTCTTTGAGACAATTCAGACAGTAATGGTTCATTGAGAAGGTGATTTTTTCTCAGAGAACATAAAATCTATAAAATCTTTGTTTCAAATTCAGAATGTGACAGTTTAAAGTTACCGGTAAAGCTAATTTTTCTAATTGTACACAATGCATCAACATTAACTGTTCTGAAAACTACTAGTAGAAAAACATAATTTTTTTCACTGCCAGGCAAAATCAGTTAGTGGCAAAAATTAAATTTCTTTCCAATTTTTTTCTGCTCAAGGTAATAGTGGAAAAGAAAATTGTCCTGAAGGTCATATGAAATTACTTTGTAATGCATTTTGTTTTTCCTGGAGGTCAGATACCTAAACACATTATTATTTAATTAATTGGCCCCCAGACGAAGACAATTTAATTTATTAGTTGATAATTGA